ACTTATGTGAAAGTTTTTAAAATTTTTGAAAATTTTTATTTCAATTTTTTTCTGAAAATTTATTTATGAAATAAATTTTAAAAAAATGAAATGATTATTAAAATAAATTATTGTTTTAAAATATTAAATTAAAATAAATCTTCAACCTTTAAAATAAATAAATTTATATATATATATATAACTCTTATTAAAATTATAATCATGTCCGAATTTTCCAGCGTTTATAATAACATACTAATAAATTAGAATGCTAAAATATATTAAAATTAATAATAATATTATAATATGATTTATTATCTTAATTCATTCCTGATCCCCGTCTGCGCCTATAATCTCAGTAAAAATTAGAAATTAAATTTTTATTATCCTGAATTTAGGTTTTCTCGTCCGTCTGTCTACGTTATTTTAAGAAAATAATTATATTTATAATAAATTAATTTTATTATTTTTATATATTTTATAATTTATAATTATTATTAATTAAATATATATTTTAATTTATTATATTTATATTAATATATATATATATATATATATATATAAAGAAACATTTAATTTTTTTCTTTGTATAAATATAGAATATTATTATTATTCATTTTATTTAAACATTTGAATACTTTTAACATTATTATTATTATAATACTATATTTAAATATTTGATTCCATAAATAAGTTAATTTATTCCTTTTTAAATTATCATTTAAAAATATAAAATATCTAATTTATAAAAAAATATTTAATAAGTTAATTTTTATTTAATTAGTTTAAAGTAATAAAATTTTAAATTATTATTTTTTTTAATCCTTTAAAATATAATTATTTTATTAAAATAAAATTTAATATATAAGAAATAAGAATAATAAAATTAAAAAATTATAACATAATAAAACTTAATAAAGATAAATTATAAATAAAATAATATTAGTTACTATTAAAATTTATATAAAATATTTAAAGAAAGATAAAGAAGAAGAAAAATTAACTGTGTTCATCAAATCGGTTGAAAAGATTGAAAAAAAAATTATTGGAGAGATTGAAGAAATGTGAAAAGTAAAAGATAAGAGAAAGATAATAATGTAATGAACTAGATGATATAAAAGATTAGAAAAGACAAAAAAAATTAAAAAGTGGATAGAAGAAAAGTAAAAATATGAAATATAAAAAAAATAACTTTATATATAATGGAAAAAGAAAAGAAAATACTTTTAAAATATTAATAATATTTTAAAATTTAAATTTAAATATAAAGTCGGATGAGGACGAAACCGGGTGGGGATTGCATTACCCATCCCCATTCACACCCGCACCCGTTCTCGCCCTCGTCCTCGACTTTTCAACGTGGAAAAACTCGAATCCACTCTTAGTCAACTCGATTTTTCTCTCGTCAAACTTAGGGTTTGGACTGGATTGGTCCCTGTGCGTACGAATTTAATTGTCATTCGTACAATAGACCTTATGCACTCGGTGGAACTTCTTGGAAGGTAAAGGATCATGACTCCTTCAAAGTTTTATAACTTATATTAGTATTTATGATTTTGGTCACGCATCAAACTTATCGATTATTAAATATTTACAAATTTTATCTGTCACCCTTTCACATTCTTTTATCTTTTCATATTTATTTATCATATATTAATATTATATTATTTGACTCCCGTAAGATTAATAGTCAAGATCCAATACTTATATGCATGTCTTTTTATTACTCTCAAGCCAGTATGCACATCAAACTTTAATGATTTTCCAAAGATTATGTATTAAATTCAAATTAAGAAACATGTATGCATCACATGTTGATACATGCTCAAGTGTATCAGATACTTAAATAATCTCCAAACAAAAGCATACAATAAAGTAAACTCTTATATAATAAGATAAATTCGTATCACTCATACGTTAACAGGGTACACACATTCCAAATCAATTAAGAGGAATATTCATAACCTTTTAAAACCTAATATTTTTATTTGTGTGATTCAAATATCAAAAGTTAGGATATCTTGCTGAATCCATCAACTCAATGCACACATCACTCACCTCTACACGATAATGTCATTCATAGTCATTATGCTCACATCACATAATAGTCCACACATTTTCACACTTCATAATTCATTGTTCTCCATCCACATACACACTATTAGGCAATTGTTTTTGCCTTGCTCAAAATATATAATTGATATAATATAACATTAAGGTCAATACTTAGCATGTCAATTGTGTTCCATATAAACAAATCAACGTTTTTGAGTAAGACTTATTTGATTTATTTTTGGAGAGATGTATTAGTTATATGACCTATGTGAGTGACATAACCTACTAAAGGTTCAACTTTAAAATTTGCAATCTATTCGTCAAAAGTTGGTCGCGCATCTTCAATCTCCATTCGGGAATCCAAATATCTTGATCTATCTTATGTTGCTCATGATGGTAAAAGTTTTTGCAATTTGATTGTTGTGACCAACACCAAGTATGATGCAACCTTTAAACTTTGGGTATTACATCCTTTGGTCTCTTTGGATTTAGAACATACTACAATAATAAAACTATTATCTTTTGAGGGAAATTTCATACATGTGTAATGTTAAGACTACTGTCCCAAGTTGGTTAAATGTTCAGTAACCTATAAATATGTTACTAGATGTATTAGCGTCAATTAGGATGTATCTTACCATCATGTTGTGAAACCTTGCTTGTTCACCTATATGCAACAATTTGTACATGGTATACTAGGCGTAAGTATCTTTTCTTTGCAAAGTTTGTTGCTCCACCTCTCATAAATCCCATAGTATTTGTGTTTATGATTCATTTACCTTGTGTCTTGGGTTCCTGACTATACTAGTAGTTGATTAACTTCATGCTCATTTTAAGGAGGTGAGTTGCCTCGTCCTTAGCCACCACAGTATCCCTGACCTCTTCCTTGGTCTCTGCACTCGTTCTAGTGTGATGTTGAATATATTTTGTGATCATAATTTTGGTGGTATATCCACTACTTTGTTTGATATGCATTTGGAATTTTGTAGGATTGTTGTGGTAAAGATACTAGTTCGAGGTTACAAGCTTCTCTTAGGATGACTTCTCTATAATCATTGAGTGTTATATAATTATCATATTTAATTATACCAGGTTGTTTACTATTGATTGTTCTTGTCACTAGTAGCTCAAATTCCTCTTTTCTTTTTTTCTTGAGCTCAGTATTTTTCTCAATTTGTATATAATTTGACGTCCTAGTCCAAAGTTCATCCATGTCGTAGGGATGGTGACTATATAGATTTTCTAAAAATAATCATGTACGTAATCTAGTCATCATTTTAAGCACGAGCATTGGTTCCAAGTCTTGCATGGTGAGGTTGGCAACAACCAATGTTTCCATAAAATTTCATAATAATTTGTTTTTTCTTTGTTTGATGTTTTTGAAATTTGTTGAGTTAACTTCATGAGGTTTGATAGTTGCATACCAAACTCTAAATTCATTTATTAACTTTTCAAATGAATATATAAACTTGTTTTGGTAAGTCATAGTACCATTATCTTCTTTTAGCATAGTGGAAAAAATTTTCAACATAAAGGAGTACTTATCTAAAACTACCTCAATTTGGGTGAGATAAGCTCGGATGTGTTTCACTAGATTTGTGACCCAATTTTTTCATTCAATTTTTGGTGTCGTCCATTATTGAGAAAGAGTATCTTCCATTATTACCACTACAAATGAGTCATCATATCATGGTTATCAAAACTGGATTGGATCAATCAATTCAATTGGTTGGATCAGGAACCAATCCAATAACCTATCCAAAGCCTTTTAAAATTTGGATGTACAATGAATCGATTAAAAATTGAATGAACTAACGAAACTGGATAGGTCTAAGGGTTACCTGGTTCTCTCTTTCTTAAAAAAAAAGGACAAAACAACATTTTGTCCTATATTTTTTTTTTCTTTCATTCATTTAACAAAGACACACAAAAGTGAAAAGAGAAAGTTGTTTGTGTTTATGGTGGTGTTATTCATTCAATGCAGTCTTTATTCTCGACATCGTCACTCACTGTCTTGGATTGTCTTTTTCTGACATCGCTCTTGCTGTCATCGCCATTGTTTACTATTGTCATTGCAATGATTCATTAAAACACAATAATATGTAAGAATCATAATCTCTTCATTTCAAAAATTAATTTGATAAAATAATTTTAAAGATATTACACTAACATTTTTTAAGGGATTTTCAGTACATATTTCATGAAACTAAATTTGAAGCTTTCTAAAATTAAGAGTTTTTAAAATAGGGGTTTTATAAAATTGTAATGGTTTCTAAAATTGGATAATAGGAGTAAAATTGATGAGTGGACGGTGAGCTAAGTGTAGTGAGTTATCCCTGGACTCCGCAATCATGCCTTAAAATAAAATAAAATATATAGAATCGAAGTTAGGTGCATCGGAAGATATAGTGCAATTTATTCCCCTAACTGTTTTCAAGTAAGGTGCAACGAAAGACATGGTGAAGTTTTTTTTTTTTCCCTTAATTAATTTCAAATTAGGTGCAACAACAATTTTTTTTCCCTAATTGTTTTCTAGTGAAAGTGTTTAGTGATATGTTTATTCATATTACTTTTCATTTATATATTCTACAAATCATTTTTATTATTATATAATATATTTTCAATACGATTTATATTGAATTGGAATTGTTGTTGTTGTTTGTGAATGTAGGAATTATCAAGTGTGAATAATATTCCTATAAATAATAATCAAAATAATATCAATATGTCATCCGAGAAACAATCCACTCGGAGCTTCATCTATAATTTGTAGAAAAATAATTTTGCATGAGATCATTTAATATTTAAAAAAGATGAATGTATACACTTGTTTGCATTGTCTCAATTCTTATAAGAAGGGGTATAAATAGAATGAAGTATTATCCTGCATGCATACAAGGAAATATAAATTCTTGCAAAAAAATTCAGATGATATTTGTTTCCAATTTCAACAACTACTAAAAGAAATGAAGGAGAAAAAGAGGATCGAGATGGATGAAGCATACAATGATAATATAATTGAAGAGGAAGTACAAGACGTTGGAATCAAAAGGAATGTGAATAATGTTGAAACTTCTCAAAATAAAGGATAAAGAAAAGTCACTATTGTTGCTAGTAGTTACTTTGCTCTGTGGACTACTTGTGACATTCACCCAAGTTTGAAAATTTCATTCACAAGTAAGGAAACAATACACAAAGCAAATATGACATTCGCTCGATGGTTTTATCATGTTGGCATTTCGTTTAATGTAATTAATTTTTCATATTTTGAATCCGCTTTAGATGTAGGTGTTGACATTGACCTTAGGTTTAAAGGTTCATCTTATCGTGAGCTTAGACTTAATGGTAAGAATTCAAAATGTTGTTCATATTATGATCGATAATGCAACTAATTATGTAGTTGTTGATAAATTGTACACGAAAATTATTACACAATTTATTGTCACCTTGTGTTACTCAATGTTTAAATCTCTATTAAAATAATTTTTTAACTTGTCACATGTTGTTGATCTTGCCAAGAAAGTCTCTAAAAAAATTATATTTATATACAACCAAATTATATTCTTATCTTGGTTAAGGAAAAAAGAAGGATGGAAAGAAATTGTTTGTCGAGGGATGACTAGGTTTACAACTCCGTTCATTACACTAAAGAGTATTTATGATTGCAAGAATGACTTGCAACCCTTAGTTGTAGACAAACATTTCACTTAATCAAGTTGGCAAAAACTACAAAAGGAAAAATGGACATTGGTATTATTTTAAGATCAAAAGTTTTGGACTAAATGTTTTAAAATTATAAAGGTTATGGGTCCTATCATTCATTTATTAAGAATTATATATGAGGATGAAAGAGATTTTCTTAGATATGTGTATGAAAGTATGCAAAGGGCGAAAAATATCATTAAAGAGATGTTTAAGCATAAAATAGATCTTGATCAACATTACAAAAATATTATTAAGGCTCGTTGGGGTAAATATTTGAAACTCAATTTGTATGCAATAACTTATTGGTTTAACCCTGCATTTAGATATGATTACCCTTTTATAAAAAAAGATAGAGTCATGACATCAATTATTATCTTACTTGAAAAATATGATTTTTGCAAATATCTTAGTCAAGCCAGGAGTGAGATAGATATTATCATAATTGTCGAGAAAGTTTTGGTTGATTAAATGTTCTTAATGTATCAAAATCAGTCAGGCCTAGTAAGATAAATTTTATTTTATATAGATTTAGATCTTATATATTTTGTGTTTCATGATTAATTGATTGATTATAGAACTAAGTAAATGTACTTTTTGTAGATCAATGGTGGTATGTGTTTGTGATAATGCACCTATTTTGAAAAAATTGCAATTGGTATCCTGAGTATAATACCAAAAGAAGAAGTAGACTAAAGCACTAGATATTGAATGATCTAGTTTATTATGCTTATAACTTATGTTTGAAGGATATATATAATTATATTTATAAGTATAATAAATAATGAATTTTTTTTCTTTATGGTAATGTTTAATTTTCTTTTTAGGTATTGCAAGAAGTCATCTTATGATCCTATTGATTATAAATGTATTGATCAAGTTAATTTTTTGTAACTAAGGAAGAAATGCATGATGATATAGATGAACTTGAAAATGCTTTGTATCATTCCACTGTAATTTCAATTGTTGAACCATCACAAAATTATTAAGGGTGAATGTTTTATACTTGAACTCGTTTTTGTTACATTGAACATGTTTGGTTTACTAAATAATCTTACTTTTTGAGTTACATATAACTTTCTTACTTAATTGTAAGTAATGAAAATATTTAATCTTTGGAGTTTCAACTTGAAAGTGATGATGATAACCATGGTAGTTCAAATAATAAAGATGTTAATATATTTTTTTATTGAAATAATCTTAATGATTATAATGATTACTAGATTTAGAAATTGAATTATTATTTTTTAAACTTTTTTGTAATAATTATCCATTTTTTAAAATGATTTTCAATTGATAAACTTATTTTATGTTCAATATATTATAATATTATTAAAATATATTATTTTATTAAACTTTATTTAACTTGGATTGAATCTTTTAATCTTAACTCATACAATGTACATAATAGTGGATATAGTGACTATTTTATTGTTTTATCTTATGTGAAGGAACATAAGATTCTTCACATTTTTTTCACTATAGGTCCCTCCTCATGCTCAAATTCATATTCATATGGAGACTCATTTGATTTAAAGGGAAGTCTTTAATTGTGAATATGAGTCATCGGATTTTGAGAAGACTAAATAATATATTATCATTAATATAAAAAATATTAATGTAAATTACAAAAATTTAAGACGTCATAATCCTCTCATCTTCTAAAAAGATAATTTACTAACTCTATAAATTATTAAGAATTCAAAATTATTCTGAAAATTTTGTTCTTTTTTTCTTTTTTAGGTCATTTTGATATTATTGTAGGCACTAGTCTTTTTTTTTTTCTAAATGACCTAAGGATAATAGAGAGTTAATCATCATTATTATTATTAAGCTATATTTATTTCTTAGTTTAATTAATACTTTATTAAAATCATAAGGTATTGTGATAAAAAAAAACAATAAAATTACATTGTCCTGTGTAGACCGAAATATTCTTACTGGAATTACCTTTGTATATTTTTAATAATCAAATTCTATAAATTTTAAAGCATTGTTTTTCTTTACCAATCATTTAATGATAAGAGAAATTTTATAAGGGATTCATTTGTCGTCCCACAGCTTAACTTCACAAATCAATCGGTGTCATGAAAAGAACTTGTCAAAACCCATTGAGAAGAAAAAAGTATTTTTACTTAAAAGTTGCTCAAACCTAAACACACTTCATGTTTCAAAGGCAACTCATATGTTACTTATAACCCAAACATTTTTCAATTTTCAATTCTAACTTATAATTTTTTTTTAAATAAAAGTTATTATATAATTGATTATTTAATTTTAAATAATTTATTTTATAGTGTTCCCTGGCTTTCTTCACACAGAGAAAGGATTGATTTTTTTTTTAAAATAACAAAACATTCTTCGTCGATTTCCTAGCTAAGAGTTTACGCTGTCATCGTAGGGTAGGATAAAATGTTTTTAATTTTTATATTCTTTGTGAAATTAATTTTAAAATACTAAAACTTTCTAAAATATAAATTTAATTATTTTAATATTTTATAATAATAAAAAAGTGTTACTAAATATTAAACTCATATAAATAAAAAATGGATTAAAATTACATATTTTATTAATTTAACCCTTTTTTTGAACTTGATAACAATAAAGAATCCTCAGTAAATATAAAATAAAAAAGGTTACGATAAAATTTAAAAAGTTAAAAGATTAAATTGATTAATTTAAAAGTATAAGAACTAGAAAAAGATAGAAACTAAAAACATTATTATCCGATCTTGCTACGTGACATTCCTGTTTCTCCGCAGCCTTCACACTCCCTGGCTCAGATGTTTCACCAATTTTGCTAGAATTTTAGACTCTAGGGGATAATTAATAGCAATTGTTCTCAGAATTATGTGATCAATGTTAATTAGACATAGCCAACAAATGGGCCACAATGCTTAACACCACCCATTTCAAAAAATGGCAAAAGATGAAGCATGCATATATAATACCGTGCAAGTAATGATTGATGAACATGAATGCACGGCATAGACCTAACATTTTCTGACACAACTTGTCTGTTGAAGTTTCTACACTAAACCCTTGTTTTATTAAGGCGCCTTCTCCAAAATTGAAGTAACTGGTGGGCATAGTAGTATACACTCCCTCAGTTGAACAATTGACCAAACTCCTGATTAAGACTTGTACTACGTTTTGGGGTTCCAAAATGTACAAGGAAATATGTGAAGAAAAATATATCAATAGGGACTGATGATAGCTCAGATGTTGATCCGCTGTTACAATGACAAGGCAAAAATAAAATAATGACCTCTGATGATTGAGCAATAGTCACACAAAGTCGATACTTCCTTCTACAGAATATTTCCATGAGTCTACTGTCAGTGACAGTCACAATGATAAGAGAATTAAAAACAGGGATATAATGGGCATGGGCATAAGCAATACATTCTACGATCATACTGACTGAGATAAAATTGTGTTATAAGGGTGAGATGTTATATATATCAAAGAGCGTGAAATTACTGAAATATGTACAAAAGAGACAAAAGGTCTTTGTGACTCTCAAAACAAACATCCTCGTTGCAGATTGATTCTCACAAATAAACAAGATCGTTAGCAGGTAGATGGAGCGTTAGCTAAAAGTTTTAAGTGCTCATTTTGATGGTCAAGCCCTTCCTTTCCGACCCCAGATATGTACACCTGCATCTCACATTGAGCAACGAGTTCAAAAATGCATGTGTCTCCAAAATTGATGTCATTGTCACGAACAAAGGCCATCCATCCCCCACAAAAGGTGTGAACTGTTCGGCCTTTTGCATCTGGGACAGAGTTCACAGTCCAACACTCACCTCTTGAATTACGAAGTAAAACTTCAGTTTTGTAAGTTGGGAGATGTGCAGCTGAGAACTGGTATGGGATTTTCTACAAAGTAACATGCATTAAATCGGTTAGCATTGATATTGAATACATATATATATAGATATAAATAAATGTAAATATGGACACTAAAAATGGTTGTTCATTACTCACCAAAGTGTATGACCCACTGACATTGAACTTTTTCATGATTTTAACAAAATTAGGAAAAGGAGAACTAAATGCTTGAGCTACTCTTTGTTCATCGAGTGCAAACAACATTCTCAAACCAGCTTTAGCCTGTGAACTTAGTTCATCTTCTACACGATGTCTCCTCGGAGTAGCTGTCATTGTTTACATTCAAAACAAAAGTCATAATTTGGAAGTAGAAACCTTAATAGAAGGAAAGCATTCAATGTTTTTCCTTTCAATAGCAAAGTAACACAATTCCAATTCTCAAGGAATTGATTTATGTTGTTTTCCTTTTTCTGAAAATGAAAGAATTTCATAGAAATTTGTTGCAAAACAAGATATAAGTCACATAGAATTTGAATGTGAGTGGGTCACAAATTGGGCACACAGAAAAACCTTACCCAACTTTTTATATGCAGCTTTGGACTGAGGGCAAAGACCCATCTTCTTAGAAGTACTCGAAGCTCTACCAGATTTCTTTAGATCAATGGATAACACAGTTTCTTGACCAATCTTTGGCCATTTTTTATCTGATAGATCCACTTTTCTTATGCACTTTGAGTTGACTTTAGGATTCATTGGCATATATCTGGGAGTTCCAGCATGTCCTGCACTAGGCTTACTAATGGTCACTCTTCCAACCTGGCAGTCTAGCCCATCTTTTCCTACTCCAGCAATGTGAACACGTAATTCACCCTCATGTACAAGCTCAAAAATACAGATATCTCCAACCTTAATGTTATTACCACGAACAAAAGCCATCCATCCTCCACAAAGTGTATGACTAGTATGTACTCTAGTTGTTGGCACAGAATTAACACTCCAATGTTCTCCTCTTAAATTATGAAGAATAATCTTTATCTTGCAATTGGGAAGGTGTGCCATTGAAAACTGATATGGGATATTCTGCATTTAGAAATTTGTAAATCAGCATCAGCAAGAAATTATTTTATGGTGCGCCATTGTGCACACACACAGACATGCAGGAACAAAAGAACTTCAAGGTTATGGCAGGCACAGTAAATAAGAAAAAAACTTAAAATGCTAAAAACAATTTTACGGATAAATTTATTTTAGGCAATATGCAACTTGTAGGAAAATCACTCCAAGATACGAGAATAGTTCCAATCTACCAAGGTTGAAATTCACTAATTAGGACTTGAATGGATGAAAGTTTCATTGAGGGCGGCATCTTTTAATAGTATACATCTGAAATGCCTTTCATCCTCTGTATAAGAAGGACGAAGCATACTATCAAGGTAAAGAATAATATATGTCAATCAGTTCAATTTCTCATGCAGATGAAACACTAAGCAAGTAACTTAACAGTATCTGCAGAGACATAAAACATTATTTGGAAACTAACAGCTCACCAAAGTATATGAACCGCTGACATTGAAGCTCTTCATGATTCTAACAAAATATGGAAAATTGGACGTAAATGACTGAGCAACTTTTTTCTCATCTTGTGCTGATACATTTGATAATGAAACTCCACCAAGAAAATATGGATCATCTTCCTTTCCACTTCTATGCAGGATGGCAGACTCTGCATTACATTGAACAATTCAAGAAAGCATGAGTTATGAATTTGTCAATATATTGTATTCTAGATAGCATTTTCACATTTAAAACTTAAAGGAACATGTATTAAAGAAATGTATGCTGTGGCATATATTTAATTTAAAGCAAAATAAGGTTTTATGCAAGGTAACAGATTTATTATGAAAGTTTGAATCAATTTTAATAGATAACTTTTTGTGAGGAGCAGAATTTGATCAAATTACTTGTACCCTCGTTTCTATTGTCCATGTTAAAAGGCAGAGGAGCATCAATAGCCAAACAAACTTTAGAGGTTTCTTCAGTTTCTCTGAACATTCTAATCGGTCTTACTCTCTCATTCAGCAATAGGTCTTTACCAACAACAGCCAGTTGAAGTTCCTGGTTCTCATTTCTACAACATCTCATTTTCTTTGAAACACCATCAAATGCAATATCCAAAGAAGAACTCTCCTTTATATCTCGTTCCTGTTCTATAATATCAGCAAATTCACTCGTACTTTGACTGCACTCAGAAAAAAATGCTGCCTCCTTCTCACATGCATCCTTATCAAATACTTGCACTGTAAAATGCAAGTGACCTTCGTATCTGAAAATTAAAAGGTCACCAGATTCTAGACGATGATCCACCACAAATGTTGACCATCCATGATGGAAGAATAGATCATTGTCCCGCTTGAATAATTGCACTGTCCATACGTTTCCACTAGGACCAGTCAATGAAAATGACCCGTATGTCCTTCCCTCCATGCGACACACAAATCCATCTGGAATTTTCTGCATTAAAAAGAACTCCCTTTTAAACATAAAAACTCCAACAAGCAATTTATGATAAACATTCTTGGATAAAAAGATGATGCGATATCAACCATCTCCCAAACCCTCTTTAAGACACAGCAACACTAGTTCATGAGTAGGATAATTCAACTAAGAATGTAAAAAACAACATTACGAATTCAGTTCTTCTATGGAAAAATAGTGCCTTTCAGGAAAAAGTTTATAACTTTTAGTTACCCAGAATTTTCTTCCAAGAAAAAACATACTTTAGCTCAGTATAGTTACAGTTGCAGAAAGATGCTTAGTCACAACATTGTGCAACAAGGCGAAAGAGGAACATAAATGGTAAAACTTTAGTTTTAGATTGGATGTCCTCATTCATTCGCAAGGGTAGGTAGTTACATTTAGAAGTTTGGGAACATGCAGAAAGTTTGACAAGAACAAATAAAAAAAAACAAAGAGAGAAGTTAAAGAGTTACCAGTCTATGAGAGCTAAAGGCAGAGGAATAAATCTCAAAAAATTGAGGCTTTCTCGCATTTAACTTCCCCCCACAGTCACACCCCATCAATCAAACCCTATTGTTCTCTTTCTCTCTTGGTTTCGATTGTGACAACAAACTTTGAGTAATGTGTTGACACTTCTCAACATCAACAACCCCAAAGCCTCTGATTTTACTTTTATTTTGTTTTCTGGAATATTACTTCGCCCTGATCATCGCCAATCACACATCTGGAGGGATAGAAATGTGAACAATTTAGGAAATTGAAAAATAAAAAATAAAAAAGAAGAGAGAGTGGAAAAGGAACCTTGGGTAGTTTCCCTGAAGGAACTTGCAGAGTGGAAGTTGTTTGATCTATGGAACTAGTTTGGTGTAAAATTGATTACTAATTTCTTCTCTTTATCTCTCTTTTCGTGTTGAGTTTAATCCTACGTTTCTGCATCAAATTTAGTTTACCATTGTGCAATTTGCACAATACAATTAGGGCGCGTGCAATTATATTAGGTCCGTGAAAACGACGCCGTCTATGTGCTACGCGCGTGAGACCTGGATTCTTCGTTGAGCGAGTGACAATTTGCTATTGTCATTCAATTTTTATTAATACTGTTTCTTTTATCATTTGAAACTTATGAAAAAAATAAAATGTTAATTACTTGTTTATTTCTTAAATTTATGTAGTTTTTCTAATTATATTAATTTATAGATATACTATTATTCTCTTAATTTATAGAATTCAATAGATAATGATATGAGAATTAAAGTGAATAAATTTTATTAAGGAACTAAAATGTAAATTTTGGAATACATACAGATAACACACTACGTGATTAAATCATAATAAAACTAGAGAATTTAGTGTAATTTAATTTTAAATTATTAAAATAATAATTTTAAAAAAATCATATATTTATCTAAATTATGATATAAGATAGATTTTAAAATAAATAAGTTGTTACCTTTCATTTTTATTTTTTCTATTAAATCATACCAAATACAATTTTAAATTTAATATCATTTTGTTTAATATTTATTGTTATTATTATTATTATTATTATAGCTATTATTATTTTTAACATAAAAATATTTTTTTATTATTAGAATAAAAATAATAATAATAATAATTAGTAAAAACAAGTATCATCCTTTATGTGTTGGTATTTATAAATAATTATTTTAAAAGCAAAATATAACATAAATATAAAAATATAATTGTTTTAAATATCTATTCTAAGTAACTGTTCTTTTTTATTTGTTTTTTAAATAAGCATTATAATATAATTAAAATACTTATTATAATTTTTGGATAAATATATATATATATATATATATATATATATATATATATATATATTAAGAAAAAAATTAAAAAATGTTCTTTATATATTATTATGTTATATATAATAAGATTAAAAGTAAGTATCATTATTATATTCATAATAACAATTATAATAAATGATACTAGTAATATAAAAAAAATTATTATTGTTTAAACAAAATAAAAATCATATTAAAAGATATAATTTTTTAAATTTTACTTGTACGACGTAAAAAATAATAAAAAATAAAATTGAAAGAAGTACAA